GAGAGAGAGAGAGAGAGAGAGAGAGAGAGAGAGAGAGAGAGAGAGAGCGCGCAGGTTGGCTATCTCCAGGTGGCGTCTTAGTTCAAAGGGAGCTTTGTGCGAGAGGGAGAAGCGAGTGGAGCCTCCAGAGGCGAATGAGGATTTATTATCCTTTGGTGAGAGATGGTGGGGTGGGGTGGGAATACCTGGAAATGCCACAGTAGACTTGCTTGTTAATTGGGGGGTGGGTGGGTGGTTGTGTTGCTGTTTTCTGCTGCCAAGCGAGAGAGCGCTAGTGCCCAAGGCCCCTGTCCCGCTCGTAGGAAGTGCTTTGTGCGTGGGAGACCCAGTGATGCACAGTGGTGCCTTCTGGGCCGTCCTCTTAGCCACCTGTGGCCCCTGGGATGCAGAGAGCCAGAAGAGCGGGTCCTGGCTGGAAGTCTCTGTCCTCGGGGCTCAGAGCCCAGGCGGAGGAGGGGGCTGTCAGTTAGGCCGTCCCCTGGCGAGGTGCAGCCCCCCCCCCCCTTCTCCCGGGCAAGACGCCCACCCAGGGGAATCCGTTCGGCTGGCTTGTCAAGTTGTAGGAACGGATTCTTGCAAGCCTGAACGGACCCCTCTCCCCAGTCCCCACCTTTGCAGCTGAGGAGACCAGGCAGGGTCCCTTCTGAGGCTTTCCCCATGCCCAGGTTCTTCCTCTGGGCTCGGCCGCCTCTTCTCCGGCCACCGCCCTGGCTGCAGCTCTTCCCGCTGTCTCCCAAGGCGACCCCCCCCCCCGTACCATTACACCGCCTCCCCTGGGGTGGCATCCAAGTCTACTTCTCTGCCCATCTGAAGGCCCCCTGGAGGTCATCGCCTTGTTTTGAGAGCAGAGAGACACCATCCGACTTGTGGCATTCCTGCGTGTGTGTGTGTGTGTGTGTGTGTGTGTGTGGAAGGGCCTGTTGTGTATTCCTCGGGGCCTGGGGGGATGTTGAAGCCCTTCGGCCAGGACTCCTGGTGCATCTCTGTCCTTCCCCAGGCAGCAGCAGATATACAGATGAACAGAGTAGGAAGGGACCTTGAAGGTCATCTAGTCCAACCCCCTGCCCAAGCAGGAGACCCTACACCATTTCTGACAAATGGCTGTCCAATCTCTTCTTGGAAGCCTCCAGGGATGAAGCTCCCACTTCTGTTCCATGGGTTGATTGCTCTCACTGCCAGAAAATTTCTCCTTATTTCCAGGTTGAATCTCTCCTTGGTCAGTTTCCATCCATTATTCCTTGTCTGGCCTACAGGAGCTTTGGAGAATAGCTTGACCCCTTCCTCCTCCTCCTCTCTGTGGCAGCCCCTCCAATATTGGAAGGCTGCTCTCCTGTCTCCCCTGGTCCTTCTCTTCCCTAGACTAGCCAGGCCCAGTTCCTGCCACCATCTGTCGTATGTTTGCGCCTCCAGTCCCCTCATCCTCCTGGTTGCTCTTCTCTGCACTCTTTCTAGAGCCTCAACCTCTTTTTTTATAGTGTGGTGACCAAAACTGGATGCTGTATTCTAGGTGTGGCTTTCTAGAGCGGTAGCAGTGCCTCGCCTGATCTTGAGATAAAAGAAACCCCTTATGACACCCCACCCTCCACAGGGCAGCCCCGCCCCCCATGGCCATTCCATGGCAAGACTCAGGTGTGCTGCATCCCTCTTGTGTTCCCATCAAGCAGAGAGGAGTTGACAAAATACCTGCAAAGCTGCAGAGGGAGGCCATCTTATGCAGCCCCCCCTCCCCCCCCTGTCTGTTTCTGGGGTGGCTGTTCCTTGTTCTCATCTCTGTGGCTCAGCATTCGTCCATCTCCTCCTCCTCCTCCTCCTCCTCCTCCTGATGTGGTCTTGCTCTCTGTAGCTACTGTCCCCCGAGCTGGTTTTGGAGGGCAGCTTCCGTCCTGCTGGAAGTAGTTGGGCATCATCTCAGTTCAGTTGTCCGTCTGGCTCCTGGAAACGGAGTCCATAAGAAAGCGTGGCCAATCTAGCTACGAAGGAACGAGCGAAGCATACAAGGATGCTAAGAGAGTCTGAGTGCGGGAAATGTTGTTTTGGGCAGTGTCCAAAATGGACGTTGGGGGGAAACGTTGGACGTGGGAAGAAAGAAGCAAGAGGCAAAGGGAGAGAGTTGGACAGAATTGACGGAAAGGGTGCAAGGGATCACCCTAAACGTTGGGAAGGGTCACATCGGTGTTGCCCGGGCACTGACCTGCCTGGCTGGCTGGACTTCGCTCTCGGTCAGCTCCGGGAGAAAGCAACCACGTGAGAAAGAGGCTGTGTCGTAGGTTGTGGGTTCAGGAGAAAGCGAGGCAAAGGGCTTTTTGCCTGACTACGGCTGTGCTTCCGCTGTGCTCGGGTAAGGCCACTTCCTGAAGACGTGGCCGGTGTGTGTGTGTGTGTGTGTGTGTGT